GGAGCCTGCAGGTCATACCAGCCTAGGCAGCTCTGCAGAGGTTTGGCTACACAACAGAGTCACGTAAGACTCACACAAGAGCCAGACAAGTCAGAGGAGCTGTGGGATCACTGGCAGAGCTTGCAAGGCACATGTTGGGAAGGTCCTACCCAGAACATCCACCTTGTGCCTCTGCAGTAACAGGAACACTTGCCCAGGCTCTGGGACCAGGCTGGAAATGGGGACTCCATGGGGTCACTGCAATACTGAGATGTCTCTGGGGTCTCTGACTCTACTGCTGTGCCCAGCACAACCCCCCACCAGCCCCCATCAACACCCTCTGTTGCACTTTCCTCCTGGGAGGAGAAGATTAACTCATCTCCCTCCACTTCACTCCCACCTGGCACTGCCAAGGCCTCTTTTCCTTGTCTCTCCTCTGCTCAGGGCTGAATTTAGTAAGAGAGGGGAAGGGAAGAAGCTCCCAAGCACCATGGGATGACAGAGGTGGGTCAGGAGCACACCTGGTACTGCAAGGCATGGAGGATCTACTCACCAATGGGCTTCCCTGTGTGGATATCGATGATAAACCCTGGGGCTTGGTTCCCACACAGGATCTGGTACTCCGCTGCAAGAGGAACACCAAGGTCAGGGCTGTGCCCAGGGGGCAGAGTGGGGTGAAAGGAGGGGGATCTGGTACTCCGCTGCAAGAGGAACACCAAGGTCAGGGCTGTGCCCAGGGGGCAAAATGGGGTGAAAGGAGGAGCTGGAGTGAGTGTCCACCAGACAGGAGGAGATCTACATGGTGCCCAGCATGGAGTCACAGGGGTTGGCACAGAGAGAACTCAAGACATGATGATCTCCCTTCTCCCCCTGTGTGTGGGAAAAGCAAGGGGACAACATGGCATGAGGATGACTTACGGCTGGCTGGTGTGGGACAGGGCTCACAGGGCTTGTTCCAGGCCTTGCCAATGTTGTAGGAGCAGCAGCACATCTTCTTGGTCATGTTGAAGGAGAGCTCGTTCTCACATGTGTCGTTGTAGTTGCGGTAGCAATGTCTGCAAAGGTAACACGGGCAGTGGCTCGTGCCAGCCCTGGGAAGGAGTTCTGCCAGCCCCAGGGCACCCACTGCTGGGGACATGCCACCCCGTCCTGTCCTGGGGCTCAGGGACTGCAGGGGACACAGTGAGAGGCCAACAAAGTGGCTGCAGCGATGGACTGAAGCTCTGCTCCAGAGTGACGGCGTTGGGTCCTGCACCATACCCCATGGCAATGCTCTGGTGGGTCTCTTGATGCCCCCCATGAGAATCACCCTCCCTAAAACTGCTGGGGGGTGAGCACCAGCCCCTCTGGCATGGACAGGGATATGGACATGGACACCAGCCTCACTGCAGGGATGCAGTGAGGCACTGCTGAACTCAAGTATCCCAAATCACAGAGTCATTTAGGACGGAAAAGACCTCCAAGATCATCAAGCCAACCTCTGATCACCTCCTTGTCAACTAGATCACAGCACTAAGTGCCACATCCAGTCACGGAATTCCAGCACTTCTGCTCCACCCCCTCAGCCATGACCATGCTGCCCATGGCACAACCCCAGGCCCTTCCCTAGGGATTCAGACCATGCCATACCCATGCAGTTGTTTCCCCCGTTGACCTGCATGTACTCAGGAGGACACACACAGGTGTAGTTGCCAAGGGTGTTGTAGCAGGTCCCAGGGCCACAGATCCCAATGTGGGCAGAGCACTCATCAATATCTGCCAGATAAAGGAGAGTGGAGGTCAAAGCACTGGGCACAGGTGGAGAAGGGTCAGGAGAGCAGAGACGAAGAAGGGTCAGGAGAGTGGAGGTCCAAGCACTTGGCAGAGGGTCTGACATGGGGTTGGGCTAGGCTTGGCATGAGGTATAGATGGCCCTGGCCCAAGGACCAGGCACTGGGAACAGGGACAGTTGGTGATGAGGATGGGAAGTCTGGAAGAGAAAGGGGAAATGATGATGCCAACCATTCCTTGAGCTGCCCAGCCACACTCACAGCTCCACAGCCACCCCCAGCAGGCCCACAGAGCAGCAGGGCCACCACAGTGCAGTACCTTCACAGATCCTTGTGTCTTCGTTGAGGTAGTAGCCCAGGGGACACTCGCACTGGAAGCTGCCGAAGGTGTTGACGCAGTTGCCACCTTGGCACAGCCCTGGCAGCTCCTGGCACTCATCAATATCTGAGGAAGGAGAGCAGCAGGAGGTGTTCACTGCCTGGCAAAGCTGTGCTTCACCTCAGGACTCCCAGAGGGTTCACACCACCACCTCCAGCCATGTTGGTACCCAAGGTGTTGGAGCACCTCCAACACTTGCTGTTCATCATTTGCTGGTCAGTGGGCAACCAACCAGGCCAATGCCAGGGCAGATAGTCCCTGGGGTTCAGAACAACTTACCTTCCAAGATGACAGTGATGGGGTTAGGCCTGAAACCTTCTCCTCCAGGGCACAAGGTCTTGTACTCAGCTGTGGAAAAAGTCAGTCAGGGAGGTCCTGAGCTGAGCAGCTCCCAGGAAACACAGGGGTAGGGAGAACCAGGAGAAACCCAGCAGAAAGAGGCCATGAGGATGGTGGCAGTGGGCCAGATGGAGCAGCTTGACTCTCACCACATGTTAAGCCAACTTAGCTGCTGCCCTGTCTACCCTTGAATAGGCTCATTCCACATGCACTGCCCTCCCCCAGCCCACTGGACTAGGAATGAAGGATTCCAAACTGGATCCACCAGGCACAACCAGTGGAATCCCCTCCACCCCACGTCCCTTCTCCCCTGCCCTTGTCAATTGACACAGCAGGGTTGGCTTCTTATCCCTCAGCTTCCTTTTCTCCACCATGATGACAACAAATCCTGACCTCAGGACCTCCAGCCTGAGTTTAGAAGCTATAGGGAAGCAATCCTTGACTCTCTTCCCTGCCCATCCAGCCCATGCCCAAGTTGACCCCAGACACTCCCCCAACTCACTGGTGTTGGCTGGAGGACACAGCTCACAGGGGTTGCCCCAGGCTCGGCCCAGAGAGCAGCAGCAGGATGCACGAGTGACCCCAACTCCAATCTCTGCACTGCAGGAGATCCCTCCATCTCCTCGGTCCTGGGTGTCCAGGAAGCAGTTCCCAACACGAGTATCTGCACCAAGACAGGGTTGGGTGAGCAAAGCCTCTCCAGTAAAGCTTGTGTACACAAGAGGAATGGAATCATGGAATCACAGCATGGGTTGGGTTGAAGGACCTGAAAGATCATCTTATCCCACCCTCTGCCATGGGCAGGGACACCTTCCACTAGCCCAGGTTGCTCCAAGCCCTATCCAACTTGGCCTGGAACACTCCCAGGCAATAAGAATAGCTCCAGAGCTTCCCTAGAATAACATTGCTTCAACAAGTAGACCATCCATGTGGGTGACACAAGATGGGCCATGTGGGTACTCTTCTCTTGCTGGGTTAAGCTCAGGTAGGGCAGAGTGGTCAGTCACCATGGTAATGGCCAGTCCAGCTCTGAGGAACCACCAAGAAGGACCACCAAGGTGTTGGATGGGAAGTGTGCTCTCCATGCAGGTCCTCACTCACCCACACAGCCCACACCGGTGGGGTTCAGCTCAAAGTCCTGAGGGCAGTTGCAGAGGTAGCTGCCAGGGGTGTTGACACACAGCCCATTGATGCAGTTGACAGGGTCTGCACACTCATTGATGTCTGAAAGGGTGGAAAGATGGAAACTCAACAACTGAGAGGAAGATTACCCCCAAACCCACAGCCCCAGGCCTGTGTGTGTCCAGGGTGTATCCCCACACCATGGGATTTCTAAGGCTCTTCATGTGATGGTCAGCAAAGCCCTTCCAGAAACAGACCTCACCTTGTCCTGCTCCCACCACCCTGCCCAGAGGCAGAAGAAAGGAGCAGAGCCACACAAGGTCCTTCCTGGTCCACCTTCCAGCAGCACAACACATCACCACATCACACAGGGATGCTGAACTGGCTTCAGGCTGCTGGTGCCACCCCCTGCCATGGTTGGGGCAAGGTCATAGAGCAGTGGTCCTCATCCAACAGCTCTTACCTGTGCAGTTGCCTCCACTCCTGTCCAGCTCATAACCATCGTCACAGGCACAACGGAACATCCCAGGAAGGTTCTGGCAGGTCCCAAAGACACAGATGTTCTGGAAGGTGCATTCATCAATGTCTGCAAAACAGGGAATGCTGGGGACTCAGGGCCTGGCAGAGTGAGGGCCAGGACATCTTCTGCTCCCATGTCCAAGCAGAGCCACAGCCCAGCTGTGGGTAACCTATCTCAGCATGGTTCTGGTGCCATGGGAGATCATCTCCTGGGTGAGCGGAACCACTCCTACTCTCCCACTCCACTGGTTGTCCACATTTGGCATGAACACTTGGCTTAGCCCAACCTCTCTGAAGGCTGAAGATCAACCAGTGGAAGAGGTGGCACCTCAGGAGCTTTGCACCATCAGGTGATGGGGAGGTCTTGCTTAGGTGGGTCTTGTTTAGTAATGGATCAGGTGGTGATGGAGCAGTGGAGAGAGGCCAGAAAGGAGGTGGCACTGACATCCTGGAGCAGCAGTCAGAGCTCTGGACACTTACCCTGGCAGGCCTTGCTGTCCTCTGTGGGGTTGAAGCCCATCTCACACTCGCAGCGATACCCGCCGGGGGCGTTGAGGCACTGCCCATTCTCACACAGGTTCACGTTGTCTGCACACTCATCCACATCTAGAGACAGAGCCAAGGGTGAGACTGGCACAGTGCCCACCCAGACATGGCACCTTCCTTCAGCTTGCCCAGAAAACTCCCACAAGCTTGTCCCACCCCTCTGTTGGGTGGAAGTGAGGAAGGGGCTGCAAGACTCCTCATTGCCTTGATGCTCCTCAAACAGGTGGTAAATCCCTACTGAAGGTCACTGTGGTGCAAGACATGCTGCTGTGGGTTTGGGGAACACCTGGTTTGGGGACTCCCAGACACAGCCAGGCTGGTGGTAAAGAGGGGCTGATTCCATATCCCAAACCATGTTCCTGCTGCCAGTTGAGCCTGTGGCCTCACCTGAGCAGGAGAAGCCATCGCCGTTGAAGCCCTCTCGGCAGGCACAGCGGTAGGAGCCAGGAGTGTTGACACAGTTGGCATTCAGGTTGCACTTATGCTCTTCAGTTGCACATTCATCCAGGTCTGGGCAAGGAGAACACCTAGTCAGTGGTGTGGGTAGCTACAGGGAGCCCAGGAGACTGTCCAAGCACTTGTGAGGCTCCAACACATCTCTTGGAGCCTCTATGGTCATGACCATCACACAGCCAAGCTCACCACTAAACCATGTCCCCATGTGCCATATCTACATGGCTTTGAATCCCTCCAGGGATGGGGATTCCACCACTGCTCTGGACAGCCTGTTCCAGGGCTTGATAACCCTTTCCATGAATTAAGTTTCCTCAATATTCAACCTAAACCTTCAATTCCAACCTGAACCTCCTCCGGCACAACGTGAAGCTATTTCCCCTTGTCCTGTCACTTGTTACGTGGGAGATGAGACTCCACCTGGCCTGGACAGCCTGTCCCAAGGCTTGATAACTCTATCCATGAACAAAATTTCCTTAATATCCAACCTGAACCTCCCCTGGAACAATCTGAAGCTATTTCCCCTTATCCTGTGACTTGTTACATGGGAGAAGAGACCTCACTTGGCTACAAACTCCTCTCTGGGAGCTGTAGAGAGCGAGAAGGTCACCCCTGGCCCTCCTGTTCTCCACACTGAGCTCCCTCACCCTCTCCTCATCAGACTCCTGAGGCTCAAGGACACTGGGTTGGTGGCACCAACCCAGGTGCCACCTCAGCCTAGCCTTCAGAGGTGCCCACAGAGCAGCTGGAGACTGGAAGATGCTCTTCTGGGCTGAGAACTCACCCCCCACCTGGCCTGGACAGCCTGTCCCAAGGCTTGATAACTCTATTCATGAACAAAATTTCCTTAATATCCAACCTGAACCTCCCCTGGAACAACCTGAAGCTATTTCCCCTTATCCTGTGACTTGTTACATGGGAGAAGAGACCTCACTTGGCTACAAACTCCTCTCTGGGAGCTGTAGAGAGCGAGAAGGTCACCCCTGGCCCTCCTGTTCTCCACACTGAGCTCCCTCACCCTCTCCTCATCAGACTCCTGAGGCTCAAGGACACTGGGTTGGTGGCACCAACCCAGGTGCCACCTCAGCCTAGCCAGGTCCCTCAGCCTCTCCTCATCAGACTCCTGAGGTTCAAGAACACTTCCAACCCAGGTGCCACCTCAGCCTAGCTTTCAGAGGTGCCCACAGAGCAGCTGGAGACTGGAAGATGCTCTTCTGGGCTGAGAACTCACCGTTGCACTTCAGCCCATCTCCGAGCCAGCCCGTGCGGCACTTGCACTTGAAGCTGCCGGGGACGTTGATGCAGGACGCGTGCATGTCACAGTTGTGGGCCCCAATCTCACACTCATCGATGTCTGCAGGAGGGAAGGACAGCACAGCTCACACAGCTCAGCTCTCCCAGCACAGGAGAGGGGAGGCAGGTCCAGTCCTGCTCATGGGTTTGGTTGTCCCATGAGTCTGAACCTCACGGCATGGGAATGAGGTGTTTTGGGGACAGGCTGGAGTGGAGCTTTGAGCTGCCTGGAGTGGAGTCTTGGAAGATGAAGCCAAAGGAAGGGCAAGGCCCTGGCTTGGCTATCAACTACAAACAGGTCCATCCCTGTCTCAACTAGCCTTTCTGGCAATCTCTTCCTGCCCAGGAGGGTCTCCCCTCATGCAGCCACATCCATGGGTGTCCCAGCAACTCCCACACCACACCCTAGGGATGGTGTTGTCTCCATGGCAGCTGTGAGAGGTGTTTGTGAGGGCTCCCACCAGCACCCCAAGATTTAGGACTGATGAGTTCCCACCTGTGCAGCCTGTGGTTCCCTTCTTAACAAAGTAGCCCAGCTGGCAGTGGCAGATGAAGGAGCCCTTGGTGTTCTCACACTCGCCGTGGAGGCAGATGTTGGGGTTGAGATCACATTCATTCACATCTGCAGGAGGAAAAGAACCATGGAACATCACCAGAACCTTCTGGAGCCCTTCCTCCATCCAACAGCAGTGCTGGAGTGCCCAGGGCACTGCCTTGTGCTCACCAATACAGGTCTTCATGTCCAGGGATGCCATGAAGCCATCGAAGCAGAGGCAGCGATACTCCCCGGGGATGTTGGTGCACTGCCCACCATCACAGATGTCTGGGTTGTCCTCACATTCATCAATATCTACAGAGAGGAGACCATTGCCAAGGGATAGACAGTGAACAGGCATTGTGGGATCAGGAGGGAGGAGCTTTGTATCAAATCATGGAGTTTCTGGAGCATCTAAGAAGGGTTGGGCATCATAGCACAAAGCAAAATGAGACCCATCACCCTGAAGCCAACATTGTGGCCAACTGCTAGTGGACACAGAGGTCCCTGAGGCAGCACCTGAGAGAGTCAAGGTGACAACTCACCTGCACAGGATCTCTTGTCTGGCATCAAGGCATAACCTTCACTGCAGCTGCACTCATAGCTGCCCTCCGAGTTGGAGCAATGGGTGTCACAGCCCCCGTTGGTTATGGTGCACTCATCGATGTCTGGGGGAGAAGGGACAGGTCAGGCAGCTGCCTGGGTCACAGGTTGGGTTGTGTGCCTTGCAGCAGGTGGGAGAGGTGCTGAAGAGGACACAAAGCTCTCCCAGCAAGAAGAAAACACCTCATTCCTTCTCTCCAACCACTCACAGTGGTCTCACAGTTGATGACAGTCCCTTACCAGTAGTGCAGGTTTGGTTGTCACTCAACCAGGAGGGTCTCCTTTCATAGAATCATAGAATCATAGAATCATCAAGGTTGGAGGAGACCTCTCAGGTCATCAAGTCCAACCCTTAACCTGTCACTGCTGTAAACCCTAAATCCTAAGCCACAGAATCATCAAGGTTGGAGGAAACCTCTAAGACTGAGTCCAACCACTAACCTGTCACTGCTGCAACCCCTAAACCATAGAATCATAGACTCCTCAAGGTCGGAAGAGACTTGTAAGATCAACAAGTCCAACCATTTAACTGTCACTGCTGTAATCCCTAAACTATAGAATTATCAAGGTTGAAGGAGACCTCTAAGCTCATCAAGTCCAACCCTTAACCTGTCACTGCTCTAACCCCTAAACCCCAAACCATATCCTCCAGCTCCAGAGGCCTTGAACCACTCTCAGACACTCCACTGAGCATCACACCAGGAGGATTCTGGGTCATACCAGGGTCTTGGCATGGCTACATGGCACAGAAGACCACTCACCAACACAGCCCTGCCTGTCCAGCGTGGCCTGGAACCCTGAGTCACATGAGCACTGGTAGGTGCCGATGACGTTGACGCAGCGACCATTGCGGCACAGGTTGTCACTGAGGGAGCACTCGTTGATATCTGTGGAGGGAAGAGCAGTTTGAGCAGCCAATCATGCTGGTGCCACGCTGGGTATCATTTGGGGCCAACCCCTGGGTGTTCAAAGTGAGTTTGTTGTTGCCCTGTTGGTCAGTGTTCAGTGAGCAGCAGAATGGAGAACATAAAGACAGTGAAACACCAGGAATGATCTTGGTCCTTCTTGGGTAAGTGTGTTCTACCCATATATCATGGAATGACAGAATGGTTTGGGTTGGAAAGGACCCTAAAGATCATCTCATTCCACCCCCAGCCACGGGCAGGGACACCTTCCAGGCTGCTTGGAGCCTTGTCCAACCTGTCCTTGAGCTTCTGCTCATGGTCCTGCCCTTGGCTCCTCATCATGTCCCTCAAATAAGTGCCACAACTCTGGGTCCTCCAAGCAGGTTGATCAATCTCTGTCCAACCTGGCCTGGAATACTTCCAGGGATGAGGCATGTGGGATTAGAAGAAGATATCCACACACCCAGCATGAGTTCCAAGTCTTCTCACGTGATTCCCCTTGAACCCTCGGGGTACCACAGCCTTCCATCATCTCACCTATGCAGGTGTTGCCTTCAGAAGTCAACTCATGGCCAGGGGGGCAGATGCATTCAAAGCTGCCATCAGTGTTCATGCAGATTCCACCTCGGCACAGCAACGGGTCTCGCTCACACTCGTTGATATCTGCAGGGAATGGCATGAAACAATGGTGAGATGTCCTCTCTCAGCTGGTTTTCCAGGGAACAGTGTGGTCCTGCTGCCAGCACCACAGTCCCATCACCAGAGGGACAGGCCAAAACAGCAGGAGATCCCAAAATGAACCTGTGACATTCTCAGGGTATCAAAAAGGAGAAGGAGGAGATGATCAGTGTGAGCTGTGGGAACTCACAGCTGCGTGGAGAAGACAACCCCCATGCCAGTGGCAGGATGGGGGGGTAATTTATGGAATACAGGGAATAAAATAGGAAGAGAAATAAATGATCTTGACTCCTGCCATGGATTGAAGTGGTTTGAAAGTCCAAGCCAAGGCAGAGAGAGCAGAACAGTAAGACTAGGTCAGCCAGACGAGTCAGTCTGGCTAGACAGACAAGGAGAAGAACATGGAATGTCAGGAATTAGAGGACAGCAAGAGTCTGGCTGAGCTGTTGGAGACAAACTGAGGTATTGAGGTCACTGAGGATGTTTTACACTACAAACAAGCCTTGCTAAAGTGAAACCAGATGAGTCTGACAGAGTGAGAACAAGGACTGGGCAGAGGAATGAGCTGAGGGTAAAGGAGGATCAAATGGGAAGGTGGAAGGAGCCTGTACAATCCTAACTGCACAGAGATGGGGATAGAAGAGTGTAGAGATCCACCAGAACGTCTCAGGAAGGAGCTGATCCATGATCCAGCCTGGGGAACTGAACAGGAGCCTCAGGAATGGTTGGGGCTGGTATGAAATTGCTGCAGGCCCCAAGGAAAGGTGGAGAAACAACAACAGCTCAGTAAGTATCACACACAAGACCTCACACACACACGAGACCAGGTCGAGAGACATGTCAGCAAAGACTCAGGAAAGGAGCTCAGGAAAAATAGGATGAATCAGCAGATTCAGGGCTGGAAGAGACACAATCAGAGCCACAATCAATCCAATCTCCTTCTCAGCAAGGTCTGTCTCCATCCCTCGTGCCAGTAGAGGCACTTGATTTACCAACACATGGGAGGTGGATGAAGCAGTTTGGGAAGATAAGTGTGAGGGTATGGATTGGGAACCACAGCAGAAGGTCTACAAGTGAAGAAACATTCTGCCCTGGTGCTTGAAAACACTTGGTTTTATGTAAGGGCATGACATCAATAACGCCTGGAGAGATGAGGATGTGTTTAGAGTGGATCTCAGAATGGTTTGGGTTGGAAGAAACCTTATAGACCATCTAGTTCCAACTCCTTGCCATGAGCAGGGACACCTTCCAGTGGCTGAATTCATCAGTGGCCAAATAAACACTAGATGGGTAACACAAGGCTGAAAAGTAGGAGTTGAGACGTCACACAAGGAAACAGCCAAGTGTGTAAGAGAGTTGGAGCTCAGAGCCATGGAGGCCAAGCTGCTGCTGGGCTGGCAGAGCTGCCCTGGGCACTAGCCAA